GCCATGGCGTCAGCCTAGCTCACAGCAACCTCAAACTCCTGGGCTCAAGCGATCCTACTGCCTCAGCCTCCTGGGACTACAGGCATGCGCCACCATGCCCGGCTAATTTTTTGTATATATTTTTAGTTGTCCAGATTCTTTCTATTTTTTTAGTAGAGATGGGTTCTCGCTCTTGCTCAGGCTGGTCTCAAACAATCCGCCCACCTTGGCCTCCCAGAGTGCTAGGAGTACAGGCGTGAGCCACCGCGCCCAGCCAGAGTAATTGTTTTTATTTTCATAATGCCAGTAAAGTTTATTGGAAGGGCCCATTACAGTAAGAGCATAAATTTCAGAGGCTGTGTGGAGAGTGTTTTGACCCCAGATCAGTCAAAATCAATTAACTTGTATACACGTAAGTTTCTTATGGTCCAGATCTGATTTCTTGTTCAACTGTGACCTATTCCTTTAGAGTGTGGCCAAATAAAATAGCCAAGAAGTAGATTCAGATTCAATCAATTGTATTGTGTATCTGAAATGATTCAGGTATTTAATGATAGCACTCATGTATATCATACCCTTTTGTCCTGGCAGAATTATTACTGGCAAATCTTTTACTCTCAAAAGTGCCTTGGTTTAGATGAGAAATGATATGGTACCTTACCAATTAGGTATGTGGTAGTGGTATCTTCTTTTCTTCTTTATCTGTGTTTCTTTTTAAACACTAGAGAAATCTGAAGACACTGAAATTTTTGTAACTTTAAGTGACTATTCCAAGGTCCTATAGCTACTTAATGTAGAACCTAGAATTTGACATTTTCCTGGCTTTTTCCAGGTCATATTTGTTAATTTCTCAATTTTCCAGATTTTATTTGATTTGTCCTGTGACTATTGTTTGGTATATTGGTGTATTATTATTCCCTTTCTCTCTCTCTCCCCCCCTCCCTCCCTCCTTCTGTCTCCTTGAATATCTTTATTTTCACGTAAAACATTACATACTCAATCATAAGAAACAACAGTGATCTAGAACCTCTTATACTTTCCTGGATTAAACTTAAGCCCATTATCCAAAGTGAGGCACCACAAGAATGGAAGAATGGGCTCCACTTGTACTCGCCATCAAATTGGTACTAACTGATGAACAGTAGGGTGATCACATGGCAGAAATACTCTCCAGGGATTAGGGGGATTGGCGGGGGGCATAAATCCTCAACCAAAGGACACGGGGAGCACTGTAGGGGGGAAGGGCATGCCTTTAACCCGCACTTGGGTGAGGCAAAGGCATAAAGTGTAACCATAATGTTTGTACCCTCGCAATACCCTGAAAAAAAAAAAAATGAAATAAAGTGAGCCACAGTAATTGTAAGCCATCTCCAAATGAGGAGAAATTGTTGCAAATATTGTTACCAGCTGGGTGCTAGAAAGCATTAAAGAACTAGCAACATAGCACTGTGGCCAGTTTGACCTTATAGAGGGAGGTGTAAATTTTTCTTGAATTAGCCAGTCTGTTCCAGGGATTATTTTACTGATGCTCTGATCAGTTCATTTGGACTGATCACTCATAATTGAGCCAGATCTCATGTATAAAAAATTTAACTCTAATAATAACTTATAATTCTTTTTCTATTTACTATCAGCCCTGAAAATCATTACGTGCTTCTAGAAATTAAGATAGTTAGCAAGAATTAGTTTTGTTTATGCTAAGTGATAATTTTCTTTTTCTGTGTTGGCTAGGTTTTTCTAGATATGACATTTGGTTCAGGAGGACACACAAGAGCCATTCTACAGAAGGAATCAGATATTATTCTTTATGCCTTAGATAGAGATCCGACAGCTCATGCAATTGCTGAACAGCTTTCAGAATTGTATCCGTAAGTAATACAATTATATAAGTATTTAATTTTGGTGCTGAGTTTCACAGAGCTTAGTTTACTTGGAATTTTTTCTGTTTTGCATGGCGCTATATTTCACTCCATTAAATATTTCTTCTTTTTTCCCCCAAAAGAATTAATATAAATGATGTTTTTAGTACCACTGAAATTAATGCTATTCTACATTTATCCTTTCTGAATTTATAAAAAGAAATATAAAAATGACTTCTAGCTATAAGATTGAAGATGTGTGAAAATCCATCCATGAATAATATATGACAATTAACTCATAGTCAAAAAAATAATTTTTAAAGATTTTTA